AATGCTCTGTCACTCTCACAGTAAAGAAGTTTTTTCTGATGTTTACGTGGAACCTCCTATGTTCCAGTTTGCACCCACTGCCCCTTGTCCCATCACTAGACATCACTGAAAAAAAGCCTGGCTCCGTCCTCCTGACACTCGCCTGTAACGTATTTGTAAACACTGATGAGGTCGCCCTTCAGTTTCCTCCAAGCTAAAGAGACCCAGCTCCCTCAGCCTTTCCTCATAAGGGAGATGTTCCACTCCCTTAAGCATCTTCGTGGCTCTGCACTGGACTCTTTCAAGCAGTTCCCTGTCCTTCCAGAAGGTTACCAAGTATACTCTGAAATGATGAATGAAAACTGAACAACTACCTCCACAGAAATCCTACCAGAATCCAACAAAACTCTGAAAAAAGTCACTTTGAACTGAAAACTTTTCACCAGCAAAATTAAATAATGTAAACATTACTACACATACAACCTTAATACTCTGAAGAATTACATTTAGTCAAATACATTTGGACCTTGTGAATATTGCATGATCTGAAAAGCAAAACACTGATATTCCAATCAAGCAACTGAGAAATGAAGACTCCGGAAACAAGATGCCACAAAAAGCAATTATTTTGCTTGTTTTCCATATTTCAAGAACAGGATACTGAAAAGGAAGAAAAATAATAAAATAATAGATACAAGAAACAGCTAAATCAAATTATTTTACATGGCAAAAAAATTATTTAAGCAAAGAAGTATCTTGAACAGCATGTTATCCAGAATCCTGAAGAAGGTTCTTACAAGCTGCTGTTCTTGCAGAAGCCAGAGCTCATAGCAGTCACCACTTCATTTTGACAACAGTATCAGCAGAAAAAACAAATCCAAACAGTGCTTAACAGCCTTTCCCATCAATCTTGCTATATTAAAAACCCACCTTGCTTTATCACTCTTTCAATTTCAACAATAACAAAACGTTTCCCAAGAACTTTCACATCAATCATACAGAATGTCAATACTTGTGAATTAGAGATTAACTATTTGAAATGAGAACTACTACTAGGTTTAACATAAAATTATTTTGTTTATTCACTCCATTAACTGCATGTAGCTAAGAAAACCAGAAGGGTGTACTGAAGAGGCCAAACTTAACTTCTGTCTAAACATACAACATGATTTAACGTTACGTACATCCGAGTTTCCAAGCTTCAAGTATGGTACTATTCTGTAGCATAGGAAGAGTTATACCCTCTAACATGGTTTATCCACATAACTTATGGGATACACAGACAAAGGAAAATTACATAGAGTGAACAGCTATGATAATGTATATTGGACAGGCTGGATTGATTGCTGAGGCCAATTTTGAGGTTCAACAAGGCCAAGTGCTGGGTCCTACATTTCAGCCACAACCCCATGCAAAGCTACAGGCTTGGGAATGAGTAGTTGGAAAGCTCCATGGTGGACCAGAACCTAGGTGTGCCGGTTGACAGCCAAGTTAACACGAGCTAGCAGTGTGCCCCGGTGACCAAGAAGGCCAATGGCATCCTGGCCCCCATCAGGAATAGTGTGGACAGCAGGAGTACAGAAGTGATCGTGCCTCTGTACTCAGTACTGGTGAGGCCACACCCTGAGTACTGTGTGCAGTTCTAGGGCCCTCACTACAAGAAGGATGTCAAGTTGCTGGAGCGTGGCCAGAGGAAAGCTACCGAGCTGGTGAAAGGTCTGGAGAATAAATCCTACAAGGAGAGGATGAAGGAACTGGGATTGTTTACTTTGAAGAAGAGGAGGCAGAGGGGAGACCTTACTGCTCTCTACAACTACCTGAAAGAAGGTTGTAGGGAGGTGGGAGTTCACAGAATTACAGAATCTTAGAGGTTGGAAGGGACCTTGAAAGATCATCTAGTCCAACCTCCCTGACAGAGCAGGATCACCTAGAGCACATCACACAGAAATGTTTTGAATGTCTCCAGCAAAGGAGACTCCACAACCTCTCTGGGCAGCCTGTTCCAATGCTCTGTCACTCTCACAGTAAAGAAGTTTTTTCTGATGTTTACGTGGAACCTCCTATGTTCCAGTTTGCACCCACTGCCCCTTGTCCCATCACTAGACATCACTGAAAAAAAGCCTGGCTCCGTCCTCCTGACACTCGCCTGTAACGTATTTGTAAACACTGATGAGGTCGCCCTTCAGTTTCCTCCAAGCTAAAGAGACCCAGCTCCCTCAGCCTTTCCTCATAAGGGAGATGTTCCACTCCCTTAAGCATCTTCGTGGCTCTGCACTGGACTCTTTCAAGCAGTTCCCTGTCCTTCCAGAACTGGGCACACTATTACAGTTGTGGCCTCACCAAGGCAGAAGAGAGGGGGAGGAGAACCTCCCTTGACCTGCTAACCACACCCTCTATAATACACCCCAGGATGCTACTGGCCTTCCTGGCTACCAGGGCACATTGCTGGCTCATGGTCATCCTCCTGTCCATCAGGACCCCCAGGTCCCTTTCTCCTACACTGCTCTCCAGCAGGGCAGCCCCCAACCTGTACTGCTACATGGGGTTGTTCTTCCCCAGATGCAAGACTCTACACTTGCCCTTCTTAAATTTCATCAAGTTTCTCCCTGCCCAATTCTCCAGCCTGTCTAGGTCTCACTGAATGGCAGCACAGCCTTCTGGTGTGTCAGCCACTCCTCCTAGTTTGGTGTCATCAGCAAACTTGCTGAGGGCACACTCTGTTCCCTCATCCAGGTCGTTGATGAAAATATTGAATAATGACAGGAGCAGAGAAAATGGCCTGAAGCTGTACCAAGGGAGGTTTAGACTGGATATTAGAATTTCTTTACCAAAAGAGTGGTTAGACACTGGAAAAGGCTGTCCTGGGAGGTGGTGGAGTCACCACCGCTGGAAGGGTTTAGGAGAAATATAGATGTAGTGCTTAGGGACATGATTTAAGCACTGAATGGGTAGATTTAGCTATGGTTGGTGGATTTAGGTTACGGTTGGACTTAATGATCTTCAAGGTCCCATCCAACCAGGATGATTCTATGATTCTGTGATATCAGCAAGTCAAATAATAGAGTACCAACTTGTATTGCCATGAATCATACAGTTGCTTTGCTTAACTCCTTTGTGGCTTTGTTGCCCTTTCAAGAATAAAGAAAGGAAAAACATAAACTTCTGCTACCATGTCAAGATCAAGCAGGTAAAGGACTTCTCAGTGATAAATTGGCTAAGGTTGTTAGTATTTAAGTAAGCACTTCAAGGTTGAGAAATAAGAGTTTCCTCTTCACGAAGCCTGGTGGGGAAACTAATATATTGATACATTTATCCTATAATGTAATCAAATATTGGGTTCTTCTGTATGTGAAATAATGACAAAACAGGACCAATGGACCACTGAAGGCTGCCATCACACGCAAATCAAAGAACACAGAAAAAAATTAAGTAAAAACAATTGTCTACCTTTTCCACCTTTCCACCATTGATGTCACTGGGGAGGAATTTCTTTCCAATCGTTCTTAAATCTGTCTGAATTTAATAGAGAAAACAAGATAATATTAACCTAAAATATCCTGTATCAAAAAAATAAAACAGGAAAATAATAGTTCTTCTGTAACACCATTTATAGACAATAAAAACCCATCCCTCTAACTACATATGATGAAAAAAAATGACTAAAAGAAGTTATAAAAATAAAATTTGTTTTTAAAGTTATAGTCTTGTTTCAAGCATATTTTTAAAGATTATTAAAATGCTTCTAATAGATGAAAGGAAATCTCTAATGCTTAATTATTGGACATAACTGGCAGCCTTTCCTCATAAGGGAGATGTTCCACTCCCTTAAGCATCTTCGTGGCTCTGCACTGGACTCTTTCAAGCAGTTCCCTGTCCTTCCAGAACTGGGCACACTATTACAGTTGTGGCCTCACCAAGGCAGAAGAGAGGGGGAGGAGAACCTCCCTTGACCTGCTAACCACACCCTCTATAATACACCCCAGGATGCTACTGGCCTTCCTGGCTACAAGGGCACATTGCTGGCTCATGGTCATCCTCCTGTCCATCAGGACCCCCAGGTCCCTTTCTCCTACACTGCTCTCCAGCAGGGCAGCCCCCAACCTGTACTGCTACATGGGGTTGTTCTTCCCCAGATGCAAGACTCTACACTTGCCCTTCTTAAATTTCATCAAGTTTCTCCCTGCCCAATTCTCCAGCCTGTCTAGGTCTCACTGAATGGCAGCACAGCCTTCTGGTGTGTCAGCCACTCCTCCTAGTTTGGTGTCATCAGCAAACTTGCTGAGGGCACACTCTGTTCCCTCATCCAGGTCGTTGATGAAAATATTGAATAATGACAGGAGCAGAGAAAATGGCCTGAAGCTGTACCAAGGGAGGTTTAGACTGGATATTAGAATTTCTTTACCAAAAGAGTGGTTAGACACTGGAAAAGGCTGTCCTGGGAGGTGGTGGAGTCACCACCGCTGGAAGGGTTTAGGAGAAATATAGATGTAGTGCTTAGGGACATGATTTAAGCACTGAATGGGTAGATTTAGCTATGGTTGGTGGATTTAGGTTACGGTTGGACTTAATGATCTTCAAGGTCCCATCCAACCAGGATGATTCTATGATTCTGTGATATCAGCAAGTCAAATAATAGAGTACCAACTTGTATTGCCATGAATCATACAGTTGCTTTGCTTAACTCCTTTGTGGCTTTGTTGCCCTTTCAAGAATAAAGAAAGGAAAAACATAAACTTCTGCTACCATGTCAAGATCAAGCAGGTAAAGGACTTCTCAGTGATAAATTGGCTAAGGTTGTTAGTATTTAAGTAAGCACTTCAAGGTTGAGAAATAAGAGTTTCCTCTTCACGAAGCCTGGTGGGGAAACTAATATATTGATACATTTATCCTATAATGTAATCAAATATTGGGTTCTTCTGTATGTGAAATAATGACAAAACAGGACCAATGGACCACTGAAGGCTGCCATCACACGCAAATCAAAGAACACAGAAAAAAATTAAGTAAAAACAATTGTCTACCTTTTCCACCTTTCCACCATTGATGTCACTGGGGAGGAATTTCTTTCCAATCGTTCTTAAATCTGTCTGAATTTAATAGAGAAAACAAGATAATATTAACCTAAAATATCCTGTATCAAAAAAATAAAACAGGAAAATAATAGTTCTTCTGTAACACCATTTATAGACAATAAAAACCCATCCCTCTAACTACATATGATGAAAAAAAATGACTAAAAGAAGTTATAAAAATAAAATTTGTTTTTAAAGTTATAGTCTTGTTTCAAGCATATTTTTAAAGATTATTAAAATGCTTCTAATAGATGAAAGGAAATCTCTAATGCTTAATTATTGGACATAACTGGCATTTAATACAGGTAAAGTTCTTTCTTCCCTCTCCACCTGGAACTGAAGTGTTTTTCATTTGTGTCTTTCTACATGCACAAATCCTTCATAAAAAGGTTGGGATTATTTTTGCAATTATACATATTGTCAAAGCTTACCTTTTCTTTCTACTACATGCTTTCTATCTTAAATGTCTGATTACTTATTTTGGAAGCGAGGTAAACACCTGCATGATTTTGTTCATCAACTGTGCAATATGGCCACTTAATGTATTCATATAATCAAAGGAACAAATCTCCACAAAAACACTTTCCTCATCTAACACTGGTTAACATCAACTATGGTGATACATGACAAAAGCATGGACTGGATGGCTAAAAGGTGTTGTATGTGAAAACAGAAAATGAAATAAAACCTATTGGAACTTTACACATTAGGTTTTTTGTTTATTTGCATGTGTTAAAAAAAAAATAAATCATGCACAACAGTGCAGCCTGGAACACATTTTCTAAACTTTATGGCTTGAAATAAGTCTGCTGTTTTAAATTGAACATGCTGGTGCAAGATTACTGTACTGAAGCTGAAAACTCTCTTTATTTATTACAGTCATAAACACTCCTAAAAGTAAAAGGGCTAAGTATAATTACTAGTAGAACTAGCACACTAACTTGCCATTAATATAAACCAATTGACTACTGTTTCAGCATTCTAATCTAGAACTGAGCAGCACTATATTTTAGTATCTAAAGCACTGTAAACAATTGGCTTATGCTGTTTTTTTCAGTGAGAAACATTAGCACCCTACAAATGGAAAACTAATTGTAGGGATGCTCTTCTACACTATTTACTCTGAATATTTATACAGTGGATAAATACTCAACCCACTTTCTGTCCCACAAGACAGCCACAGGTAGTTATAAAAAAAGCACATTTGGTTTTCAATCTGAGCCCACCTGAGGGAGCTGATCTGTCACTTGTCAGTTATATATATCTCTGTATCACAGACAGGCTCCTATAAACTGCTCCTGTACGTTTCATACTCTTAAAATTTACAACTCTCTAGCACCATGCTTTGCAATCAGGGCAACAGGAAGGAGATATAAGGTTTTACAACTCTTTGCAAGATCTCATGCAAAATAAAAACATTTAAAGGACTGAAAAGTACATTTATGTCTATTTCACACTCACTTAAGCAATTCACACACAGACACAAAAAAGTTGGTTGACTTCTTGGTTTCTTCTTCCTTAAACATTGTCTCTAGCAATGAGGGGAAGTATTTGTGAATCTGTAAGAGGTGGAATCTACATTCACTGTTATCCTGTTGTCCAAGCCACATTGTTTTTTATTCCCTACTTACTCAACAGGCAACTTAATCTTCTAACTGACTTAATAACAAAAATACTGATATGCAATTAAAACTGGCTTTAGAGTACTCACATAACGTTCATGGATTATTTTTTTTATTATTATCCATCAAACAAACAAATACAACATATACATGCACAAATTATCACATTAGCACTTATTCCAGCACATAATAACATAAAGGGTAGTGCCCAGCAATTTGGAAGTATTGTATTTGTTTTTTTATAAAAAATAATGCATTCTCAGATGCCACTTAGGTCCAGAAACAAAATGTTTACCTTCTGCATGTTTTGCATTACATTCTTTGCATTTTTGCATTATAATTTTGCCTTCTTTTCAAAATTGTAACATGAATTGGTGCATGCACACACAAGCAACTAAACACATGCTTTAAAAAATCAATGAAAGGAGCATAGGGGATATTATTTTCAGAGTACCATTTTAAACCAATGGTGGTTGAATCACTAAGATGGACAAAATCTCCCCAACAGTTCTCATTTGCAATGTCACATACAGTGCACTCAAGATTTAAAACTTCTGAGTATGGATGATGGAAAAGTTTTAAACAAAGCAAACAAAATTCTCAAAACTCTCCTTCATTATTTTGACTGAATAAATTAAAATTAAGCAATACATGTGTGGATTAAGTAGCTGTTCTCTTTTCGTTGTTACTGAAAGGGAGAAGAGATTAATGCTTACTATCAATGTACACACTAGAATTCAGAAAAATCAGGAATTCACATGCATACTTTTCTCATGTCCTTGAAAGTACTAAGGCTCACTACTTCCAAGATGTTTCTCCATCTCGTATGTTTTTGTATATATTTGTTAGCAGGAATAATGACTACTAATCCAGATTTCCACAGTAAATAAAAAATTATAAATACATACACTTCACAGGAAAATTCACCATTAGTTTGAATATGCTTTAAGGAGCATCATATCCAGAAGTCAAACTAAGTAAGGGTGTTTTGTTCATCCCAACTAATATTTTGTACTACAAATTCATACCCACGTCAGTGCACAGCACTTCTTATTGTATTACTGTTTGTACTTTGACTTCAGATTTACATTTCATAAACATAAAAAGACTGCATGTTAAGTTCTTTTTTTTCCCCAGGTTTCTCAGTTTGGAGTAGATATAATTTCTAAAAAAAGCTCAGAGCTCCCACACAAAAGGAGAGATGTAAGTATTCTTATCAAAGCAACAAACCAACACACTTGAGCTGTCAGATACATCATTTTTAGCATGATATGTCAGAAGAAAAGTCTTCACAATCATAACTTACATTAAGGGCAACTAGGATAATGTCATTTGCATTCACTTTTTCAGAAGAAATTGTGCAAGCTTCAATTCCTTCATCTGAAAGATACCTGGTAAAGAAAAAAAAATATTGGAATATCACATGATGCATCTATAAAGCAAACATTTTTTTTCTGTATAGAAGATTACTATATTTAGCTTTTAACTTAAAAAATACTTGGAAATTTACTTCATGTAATCAGTTTCCTATCACTCAGATGAGACTGAGTAAGATTTCTTCTTCCTTAATTTTTAAAAAAAAAAAAACACAACAAAACATAAAAAAGCCAACAACACACACACCAAAAAAAAAAAAAAAAGAGCTCTACTTACACAATAACAGACATCATGCTGATTATGTTGAAGAGGGTAACACTACCCTTCTTGTCACTGCCTCCTCCCACCCACTCCAAATTAAAAATAACCTGGTTTGAAAAATCAACCATTTGGTTTACTTGATATAAGTGATAAACTCTCTCTCACTCATGCACTTGTAAGGAGAAAACCCAAACAACCAAATGAATAAAACACATGCCACATACAATGCAAAACACAACCACACCTGTTTCTAAACAGCAAGCCTGTATGGAACTAGCACACTAACTTGCCATTAATATAAACCAATTGACTACTGTTTCAGCATTCTAATCTAGAACTGAGCAGCACTATATTTTAGTATCTAAAGCACTGTAAACAATTGGCTTATGCTGTTTTTTTCAGTGAGAAACATTAGCACCCTACAAATGGAAAACTAATTGTAGGGATGCTCTTCTACACTATTTACTCTGAATATTTATACAGTGGATAAATACTCAACCCACTTTCTGTCCCACAAGACAGCCACAGGTAGTTATAAAAAAAGCACATTTGGTTTTCAATCTGAGCCCACCTGAGGGAGCTGATCTGTCACTTGTCAGTTATATATATCTCTGTATCACAGACAGGCTCCTATAAACTGCTCCTGTACGTTTCATACTCTTAAAATTTACAACTCTCTAGCACCATGCTTTGCAATCAGGGCAACAGGAAGGAGATATAAGGTTTTACAACTCTTTGCAAGATCTCATGCAAAATAAAAACATTTAAAGGACTGAAAAGTACATTTATGTCTATTTCACACTCACTTAAGCAATTCACACACAGACACAAAAAAGTTGGTTGACTTCTTGGTTTCTTCTTCCTTAAACATTGTCTCTAGCAATGAGGGGAAGTATTTGTGAATCTGTAAGAGGTGGAATCTACATTCACTGTTATCCTGTTGTCCAAGCCACATTGTTTTTTATTCCCTACTTACTCAACAGGCAACTTAATCTTCTAACTGACTTAATAACAAAAATACTGATATGCAATTAAAACTGGCTTTAGAGTACTCACATAACGTTCATGGATTATTTTTTTTATTATTATCCATCAAACAAACAAATACAACATATACATGCACAAATTATCACATTAGCACTTATTCCAGCACATAATAACATAAAGGGTAGTGCCCAGCAATTTGGAAGTATTGTATTTGTTTTTTTATAAAAAATAATGCATTCTCAGATGCCACTTAGGTCCAGAAACAAAATGTTTACCTTCTGCATGTTTTGCATTACATTCTTTGCATTTTTGCATTATAATTTTGCCTTCTTTTCAAAATTGTAACATGAATTGGTGCATGCACACACAAGCAACTAAACACATGCTTTAAAAAATCAATGAAAGGAGCATAGGGGATATTATTTTCAGAGTACCATTTTAAACCAATGGTGGTTGAATCACTAAGATGGACAAAATCTCCCCAACAGTTCTCATTTGCAATGTCACATACAGTGCACTCAAGATTTAAAACTTCTGAGTATGGATGATGGAAAAGTTTTAAACAAAGCAAACAAAATTCTCAAAACTCTCCTTCATTATTTTGACTGAATAAATTAAAATTAAGCAATACATGTGTGGATTAAGTAGCTGTTCTCTTTTCGTTGTTACTGAAAGGGAGAAGAGATTAATGCTTACTATCAATGTACACACTAGAATTCAGAAAAATCAGGAATTCACATGCATACTTTTCTCATGTCCTTGAAAGTACTAAGGCTCACTACTTCCAAGATGTTTCTCCATCTCGTATGTTTTTGTATATATTTGTTAGCAGGAATAATGACTACTAATCCAGATTTCCACAGTAAATAAAAAATTATAAATACATACACTTCACAGGAAAATTCACCATTAGTTTGAATATGCTTTAAGGAGCATCATATCCAGAAGTCAAACTAAGTAAGGGTGTTTTGTTCATCCCAACTAATATTTTGTACTACAAATTCATACCCACGTCAGTGCACAGCACTTCTTATTGTATTACTGTTTGTACTTTGACTTCAGATTTACATTTCATAAACATAAAAAGACTGCATGTTAAGTTCTTTTTTTTCCCCAGGTTTCTCAGTTTGGAGTAGATATAATTTCTAAAAAAAGCTCAGAGCTCCCACACAAAAGGAGAGATGTAAGTATTCTTATCAAAGCAACAAACCAACACACTTGAGCTGTCAGATACATCATTTTTAGCATGATATGTCAGAAGAAAAGTCTTCACAATCATAACTTACATTAAGGGCAACTAGGATAATGTCATTTGCATTCACTTTTTCAGAAGAAATTGTGCAAGCTTCAATTCCTTCATCTGAAAGATACCTGGTAAAGAAAAAAAAATATTGGAATATCACATGATGCATCTATAAAGCAAACATTTTTTTTCTGTATAGAAGATTACTATATTTAGCTTTTAACTTAAAAAATACTTGGAAATTTACTTCATGTAATCAGTTTCCTATCACTCAGATGAGACTGAGTAAGATTTCTTCTTCCTTAATTTTTAAAAAAAAAAAAACACAACAAAACATAAAAAAGCCAACAACACACACACCAAAAAAAAAAAAAAAAAAGAGCTCTACTTACACAATAACAGACATCATGCTGATTATGTTGAAGAGGGTAACACTACCCTTCTTGTCACTGCCTCCTCCCACCCACTCCAAATTAAAAATAACCTGGTTTGAAAAATCAACCATTTGGTTTACTTGATATAAGTGATAAACTCTCTCTCACTCATGCACTTGTAAGGAGAAAACCCAAACAACCAAATGAATAAAACACATGCCACATACAATGCAAAACACAACCACACCTGTTTCTAAACAGCAAGCCTGTATGGTTAAGCCCTGATGGGCTGGGGCACATAATACTGCCAGCTTATAAAATACATTCTTGTTCACTGAACTATAAGGCAATTAATAAAAGTGGAAGTGCATTACAGCGTATCAGTAGTCAAATATGGTGAAAAAGATTAAATAAGTATAAAAAAGTCCTCCATAATCACATTTGGAAACAGCTTTTGTGGCCTTAATGCTTATAGTCCAGGATCAGGATGCTTCTGTAAAAATCCTGTGAGAGTACAATGAATATATTCATCTGAAAACTAACAAAGTCTTAAATGTATTCAACCAATCCATTCAAAAGGGCTGACCTAGTCTAACCTTCAAAAACACTTTAAAAAAGAAGGTCATTTTAACCTGAGTGGTCAGAAATAGTGACCTTTGTTACTCATCTTGCCTAATGTTTCCTATTTGAAGCCCCAGTTTCCATTTCTATGTAGCTTACAATCTGTCTTCTCTGCACACCTCTTAATTTTATTTAAATACATCAGAGCAATCATTAAATAACTGATATTGGCCAGATACTAAATCTGAAATACAGTACTTGCCCAAATAACATTTAAGTAACTACCTACCAAGACACCACCATTCCCCAAAGAATAAAAGAATTATTTAATAAAGAAGCTTAAGAAATATTAAAAATAAATATTCCTGAGTGCTTTAAGAAATTCACAAAAATAATATACATAGTGTAACACACAAACAAGGCAAAACATTTGAAGGGAAGTACATCTGACAGGCCTTTCTGATCCTAGTTGTGCTCTAACCCAGACACCCGACGGGATCTAAATATTCAGGTCGGACACTGACGGATAGCAAATCCTGAAGGACCAGACCAACACCAAAAAAAAAAAAAAAAAAAAAAAAGCACTGAAAGGGAACAAAACACATCTATAAGAACATAAGAAACAATCCTATTTTTATATATATATAAAAAGGCAGGTGCTTGAAAAAAAAAAAAAAAAAAAAAAAGCACTGAAAGGGAACAAAACACATCTATAAGAACATAAGAAACAATCCTATTTTTATATATATATAAAAAGGCAGGTGCTTGAGAAGAATAAGGTTTGGGGGCTTTCATTGGGAATTTGGGATTTTCCAGCTAAGTAACTCTGAGCTCCAGTACCTGTGAAGATTCAGGTAACTACTGTGAATAAGCAGATGGATCTCATTATCTGGAGTCAGAAGGTAAAGTAGAAGAGCACTCCCACTCTCTGCCAGAGGGAACAAGAACAGATCCTTCCTACAGGCACTATCATACTCTTGAGGCTTCAACTATGGTTTAATTACACCAATAAGACTTCCTAGAAAGAGCAGTATCATAAACTCTACAAGTGTACCTTCTGTTATCTTCCATGTAAAATTGAACATAAATTCAATACCTGGGGTTGGGGGGGGGAGTACAAAATCCATAAGCTGAGTTTTAGACTGTCAGGCAAGTCTTGGAAAGATTCCTCCTATTCTGGTCTTTACATAAATTAAATCATTCTTCAATTCTACTGAAGTTAACAGGACTGCAGTTCCCTTATGGTGTTTCTAAGCTTAGTATTTAGATGTAAGCACTACTGTTTCCCAGCAAGAGAAACTTTTTTTTTAGATAATGAATAAACAAGAATCTGACCTGGAATTAGACTTTCCACTGATAGGACAAAATTGCTTTATTCTGCCATCACAAAATTCAATGCAGAGCCATGTTTTACTTCCTCACTTCAAAGTGAAGAATGAATCATAGCTGTCAAAATCACACACCAGTCAAAATTTTCAGTTCATAAGCTTTTATACATAAATTTATATATAAATGTTCAGTTTAGTTTGTGCCATTACTTTGGAAGCTTTTTAATATGGAAGGATAGAGATAAACCCACTAGAAAAGACCACTCATTTTCGATGTGCTAATTTTAAGCAACAGCACTTAGCAAAAACGTTACCCACCTGACTGAAATCTCTGCCAGCATAACAGAGGAACCAATCACGAAATGCCATTGGGGCACCTGTTAGCTTGATTTAAGCAAACACTAAAGCTTTTCAGCAAAAGATTAAGACTGCTATTAAAATAATCTTCAAAAATGCAAACTCTGTGTACACCAAAGTGGGAGGACATTTTATAGTTTGGGATTGGTTGGTTTGGTTTTTATAGATATGTATTACAAGAAAGTATAAATTACTTAAAACTGCAAGAACAAATGTCAGTATTAAAATTACTTTCATTAACAAAAATAAAATCAACAACTTTCCAATATCTTTCCAATAGTGTGTCAGGTGTTGCTTCGTGCAACAGGATGCAAAGGTGTTGATTTTATCAGAAATGGTCTGGAATTGGTTGGAGAACAAACTACAACCAGAAAACACTGTACACCAGAAGTAGCCAAAACACAGATCACTACTCCTTTAATAAAAGCTTGGAACATGTATCAAGTCAGACTTTTCTGTTTTGTCTTACTTGAGTACTCCAAATGCATGTTTAGATTTTCTTCACAACCCTACAGAAAGATCTTAATTAAAATAATTTGGTTTTAAGTAAGTAAATGCACTTATACTGAAAAACATACATCTATATCCTCAAGTATGGAAAAGGAGTTTAAACAGGCAAGATTAACTCTTAACTGGCATAATCCTTCCCCCTGCAACACACAGATTATAAAGCCTGAAATCCTTCTGCCAGGCTCTGAAGAAAGCAGTCCCCTTTCCTACCTACTCTTAATAAGGGTATGTGATATGCTGATGCTAGGACCTTTACAGCATAAGGCCATTCAATCTTTTTGTTCTAACTATTAGCAGAAGGAAAAAAAAATCTGACCCTGAACAAACCCAAAGCCTGTAAAAACCTTCTCAAAAGTCAAAGAGAACTGCCCTGCAGCTCTGTGTGTCTATTATATCCATGAATGCCTCACAACATCCACCATTCTGCACATTGTGTAAAATACCATGACCGATCACAACCTTAGATAATGAAAGGTCAACTACACATGATCTTATTACAGTAATCCAATGCGTTTCCCACTGACTAGGGGTAGGAAGCAATCCTAAACCACCCACAAACCAGACTGCACTGCTGGACGCAGCTAGTGAGTTACAATCGCCTAGAGGTACCTGTCAGTGCCATACAAGCTTGCCTACTCTTGCTCTCCATACCTCCATCCCAAGCTGTCCTCACCTTTTCTTTAAAAGGCAGAGGAACAGGGAATAACCTGCATGTAATAGGTTAATGCTGCTGCCACAATCAACAAATTTCATAGAATCACAGAATGTTCTGGGTTGGAAGGGACCTTTAACGACTACAATAACCAGGGGCTGTTTCAACTAGATGAGGTTGCTCAGAGCTCAACCTGACTTTGAATGTTTCCAGGATGGGGCCACTACCACCTTTCTGGGCAACTTGTTCGAGTGGTTTATCACCTCATTGTAAAAAATGTCTTCCTTGTATCTAGTCTGAATCTACCCTCTTTTAGTTTAAAACCATTACCCCTTGTCCTGTCACTATAAGGTCTACTATGAAGTTGTTCCCGTCTTTCTTATAGGCCCCCTTTAACTATAAAAAGGCCACAATAATGTTTCCTTGGAGCCTCTCTTCTCCAGGCTGAACAATCCCAAATCCCTCATCTTTCCTCATAGGAGAGTTGTTCCATCTCTTTGATCATTTTTGTGGCCCTCCTCTGGACCTACTCCAAAAGCTCCAACTATTTCCCGTACTGAGGATTCCAGAACTAGACACAGTACTCCAGAGTACTGTGAGAGAGGAACAGCGGGGCAGAATCATCTCCTTTGGCCTGCTGGCCACAATTCTTTTGATATAGCCCATTATACAGTTGGCCTTCCAAATGTGCAACTGCACACTGTTGGCTCATGTCCAGCTTCTCATCCAGAAGGACCCAAGTCCTTCTCCTGAGGGCTGGTCTCAATCCCTTCATCTTCCAACATGTATTGGTACCGGGAGTTGCCTCGATCCATGTGCATGAACTTGCACATAGCCTCACTTGAACCTCATGAGGTTCACATGGGCCCACTTCTCAAGCTTGTCCAGGTCCCTCAGGATGACATCCCCTCCCTCAGGCATGTCAACTGCACCACTCCAATGTCATCTACAGACTTACAGAGAGAGCATTCAATCCCACTGTCTGTGTCTTTGACAAAGATATTGAACAGTATTGGTGGTAAAACGGACCTTTGAGGGACAAAACAACAGATGTTTCAGAATTATGAACCTTTGCTTCAAGTGAAGGAGCAAATAAATACACAATAAAACAAATGGGTGAGAACTGCAGTGTAACAAGCAGTCCAGCTCCATAAAGCTACTTAAGAATACAAAGGCTAGCCAAGAGATGGTGACTGACATCTTTTCCACACTGACAGCAATGAGAAAAATAATTTCCTTAATATACAGTCCAGGTAATGCTACTCTGGAAGAAAACTCAGAAAGACCGAACATGAAGTAATGAAGTAACTGTTTCAACTGGCAGCCTGATATTTGGCTT